CCTTTCTATTTCTAGTTCTTCAATAGAAGTTGCCAAATTTAAGGTAGCTTTGATGCAACTGCTTAGTGTATAGGATAAGGATACGAGAGTAAGTAAGGTTTTTGTTAAATTTTTTCCTTTCATTTTGTTATTTTTTTAGAGTAATTAACAGTTAATAATGATCTAAGTTTAAGTTTTGTTTCTAGATCTTAAGAGACAGCATCGGTAAAATAGTTCATTATTTTTAAAAAATAGTTTGTGTTTTTTTTCCCCAAAGTAAATTACCTCGCATTTACTTATCTTTAAACTTTTCTTAAAGTTTATGTGATGCTTTTCTGTCAACCCAAATAATCATGTTATAGCCTCTCGTGGTTTAAACACATCCATATAAATTGACTTTTTCTCTTTTCTTGTTCCATTTGACTTTGTGCCATTTATGTTATCTGAGGGCTAGAGATCACACTCTGGTGCACAGGCTTCCTGAAGATGTGTCTTAAAATGACTTAAGAAAGGAGTATCTTCAAGTAGACAGACTATAAGGCTGCACTTTCCTATCATTTGAAGAGTGTTATAACTTCTTCCTGTCCTCATTGACTCTTCAGCACACTAAAAAATGGCTCCATCATCATCTATGTATGGTGAATGTGTTAAGCAGTTTTAGAATTCCTTAGGTCCTAATAGTTTTCCTGGGTTCAGGAGAACCTTACTAATCATCAAAGATCTAGCTTAAATTTTATTTTCTCTTCAAATGCCTTCTTGATTCCTCCAGGTAATTAGACTTTACCTCATTTTTTCCCCATGCTCCTTGCCCACACTTTAGCTGTAACATCAGATTAAAGCACTTGTCTTCACAGAGGTTAGCACAGTGCCCAGAACACAAGGAGCTCAATACATATGTGTGAACAAATTTTTAAAATATGAAGAAGCCAAGTGCTTAGGGGAAAGATTTTACCTTTAACCCAGAACACCTCACCTGGGAATATAATAAGAAGTGTGTGTGTTAAGAATGGGGGATTGTGAGGAGTGAAGTTAATGGAGAGAATTGTGGAAAGGACAAGTGGATAATTCTTACAGTTTTACTTAGAACCTGCCTAAACTAAACTACACCTCTGTACACCTAACCATGTCCTTCTCTCCTCCATTTCATAATACTTTCCTACATCTTCTTCTCACTCTCTCTTCCAACACTTTCTTTTCATACTGTTGTCTCTATGTAACTGAGGAGTTAGAAATGGCCAGGAAGTTTAGGGTTGGGGGACCCTGAGGAAAAAAGAACTGAGCAAACAGGATATGAGAAAAACAAGTTTGCCTTACAGAAAAATTTTCCCTACAGAGAAAACAAGTTAGCTCTATACCTGACCCCCTAAAGTAGGAAACTAAAAAGAAAGAGGGATTGGCTGTTACTAAGGTAGAATTCTTAGAATGAGCCAATGAAGAACAAATACAGGAAGTATAAACTCCTAGACTAGGGAGCTTCAGCAGTAACTTTTTGGGACCCCCCTCCCATGCAGAGACCTTTGCTTTCTTTACACAATAAATCTTTGTACTCTTTTCCTTACTCTTCTGTTGTATGTGATTTTCATTCTTCCACTCCACAGGACAGGCAAAGAACCCAGTAAGGAGAAAATCAGGTATCATAACAAATTTTCCTACATTATGCAGGATCAAATGTAAACTGATAATTACTACTGATGTGGAAAAGATGCAGAAACATAGAATCAAACAAACGTTGCAAAACAAAGAAGTGTGACAATTTAAAGCTGCAATATTCTGATTTGTAAATATCCATTTAAGAAGATTCATTGCTTTTGTAAAGAAGCTGTGTTTTAATTTTTCATAAAGTATAACATAAAATATTAAAAATTTTGAGTACAAATGTTACATAAATGAAATTAAAACAGTCATAGTATTGCTCTTACATGAATTCCTGTCACTCAGGAATTCATGGTTTTCTGCTTATTTACCCATTGTGGGGAGTTTGACAGTGAGTTATTTTTTTCTTAATTTTTTAACAGTTTTTCAGAAGAACAGAAGTGTTTAGGTGGGTTAATATTCTATTGAGTGACAAATGCCTATGACTTTGTTACTATGTATCCACTACTGTTTTGTTTATAGAGCAATCTTTTCTATGAGTTTTCCATTCAATTTTTATGTGTTTTACTTTATTAAAAATAAAATAATTATAACATTTTCCCATTTAGGGAATATTTTATGAGATGGTGTTCAGTTATACAGTAGAATGTTATAATAAAAAAACTGATATGAACAAAATTGATGCGATGTTGACTATTACAAATGGAAATAAAGAAAACACTTTCAGGATTGTGAGTAGGAAATACTGAAGGATAACTAACATAAATTTTAATATTTCATAGAAAATATCAATTCCTGGCACTAATTTCCCCATATACATTTTGAGGATTTTAATGATGTTGCTCTAAGGGATACAAACCTGTACTGTTATCATCTTAACTGCATTTTTGGTCCCATCAGCCTTTTCAAAACAATTTTCAGTCACTGGTGGCATTTTCTCAAAATTAACATGTAGAAAGTAGTGTGCAATTAGTAGAGAGCCTGTACTTCCCCCTCTAGCTGCCCTTTCAGAACATTTTTTTCAGGCTAGTAGTATCAGTCTACCTCATCACATTTTGTTCTCTCATGATTCGGAGCATATGGCCCATCATTATGAGTGAATAGCTACCTATATGGCGTGATGTGAAAACCACCGACATGATCCTTACTTTTTATTATCTCTTATGCATTCTGCCAGTATTCTTGACAAGCTCTTTTATTGTCATCTTTATTGTAATTTTGTACAAACATTTTAACTTTTATTAGCTGCAGTGTCTTGAAATGTACAGTGAGAATAATAAGAGTTATTCTTAGGTTCAAGTGAGATTATTTATATGAAATGTTTAGAAAATCTTAAAGCACCATATGGAGTAAACATGTTAATAACATTAATTTTAAAAATATATATTTGTTGATTGATTTTTATAGAAAGAGAGGAAGGGAGAGGGAGAGAAACATCGATATGTTGTTACACTTATTTATGCAGTCACTTTTTTTTTTCTGTGTACCATCACTGGGGATTGAATTTCCAATTTTGGTGTGTCAGGAAGATGTTCTAAAACCCACTGAGCTACTTGGCCAGTGCTTAATAACATTAATTTTAACTACTACCATGGTGACGGTAATTTCCATTATATTTTTTATGGGAGAAACTACTCACCACTATCTCTGATTCTTCTCCTTTTCAAGGTATAATGGAAGATTGGACTTCCTTTCCCCTTTGAAAATAGGTATAGCTGTAAGTTACCTTGAATCAACAAAAAAATGTGAGCACAAGTTACAAGTGTTACTTCTAGTCAGAGTTCTTAAAAATGTCTTTAGTGTTTTCGTCATAATTCCCCACAAAAGCTAAATTAAATGACAACTGTCCAAATAGTGGAAACTCTGTCAACTATGTCCTTGAGCTAGGACCATGTGGAGCAGAGCAGCACTCTGCAGTCTACTCAGTGGACATGTAAGACACATAGTATGAGGGAAAATCACTTTACTATTTTCAAGCCAGTGAGATTATGGTGTTGTCTTTTTACCACAGTATATGTTATTTCATCCTGATCACTTTATTTTTATTAATCTCAGTCTTTTGTTATACTGAGAAATTTTTATTGTGGTAAGATACACGTGAATACTATATGTCTTTCCATTTATTTATTTATGTTTTCATTTTCTTTCAGCAATGTTTTGTTTTCAGTATACAAGTCTTTCATCAACATAATTAAGTTTATTCTTAACTACTCATTCTTTTTTTACAGATCTTATTTGTATAGTGGTAAAATATACATGACATAAAGTTTACCATTTTAAAGCTTTCTAATTGTACAGTTCAGTGGCATTAAGTATAATTGCATGGTTGTGCAACCATCACTTCCATCTTTTTTCAGAAAAATTTATCACTGCAAACTGAAACTCTGTGCTAATTAAATAATAACTCTCCATTTCCCTCATCCTCACCCCCTGGTACTTTTTGTTAATACAAATTTGGCTACTCTGGGAAGTTCATATAAGAGGAATCATGCAATATTTGTCTTTTGTGACTGGCTTATTTCACTCAGCATAATGTCTTTGTTTATGTTGTAATGTGTCATAATTTCATTTGTTTTTAAGGTTGAAGAATAAGGTTGTATGTACATGCCACATTTGTTTATCCATTTAACTGTTGATGGGCACTTAGATTATTTCTACCTTTTGGCTATTGTGAATAATGATACTACAAACATGGGTATACATGCTTTTACTTCTTTTGAGTATATACCAAGAAGTGGAATTGTTGGGTTATATAATTCAGTGTTTAATTTTTTGAGAAACTGTCATACTATTTTCCTTAGCACCCTCATCATTTTACATTCCTACCAGCAATACAAAAGGGTTCCAATTTCTCCATATGTTTGCCAAGGACTTTCTCTCTCTCTCTCTCTTTCTCTCTCTCTCTCTCTTTCACTCTCTCGCTTTCATGCTCTCCTCTCCTCTCTCTCTTTTTTTTTTTTAAATAATAAGTGTCAGTAGCTAAGCTCAGCTGGCAGAGAGAGAGGAAGGGAAGGGGAGAGAGAAAGAGGGGGAGGGGGAGAAAGGAGGGGAGAGAAAGCAGGGGAGGGGAGGGAAGTTGTTAAGTTTCACAGTATTTGATTAAAACAAAAAGCCAGAAATGAAAGTTAACCCTCCAATCGCTTACTGTGATGGTGTATACAAGAGGCTAAAACCAGAAAAAGGGCCACCTCCCCATGTTCCATTTCCCCCTCCCCCCATGGAACAGTACACAGTGAAGGTCAGCTGGATCAATGCAGATTTGGGGTTGGTCTCACTGTTGAGAGAACTACAAACAAATGACTCCAACAGTTTTATGGGCTCCATGGTTGGTGGTTGACCTAGGGGGAAGGTTAGGAGTGAAAAAATACTGGATATGGAGTCAGAGTGAAGAAAATTGTCTTAAAATTTCCCTTCTCCTTCCTCCATAGGGAAATCTTGGCAAAGGTGCCTGAAGAGGACCTATGGAAGTGTCCATATATGATGAGTCAATGTGAAGAGCATTACCAGCTAGGGGAAACTGAGACCTTGACTGTAACTCTCTTCAGAGATTGTGATGCACTAGCTGTGCCCCAAATCTGATGTGGGGAGGTCAACTTTCCCTCATGAATCTTATCAGGTAAAGCCTTTGTAATTGCCTATGGTCAAGCCTAAAAAAATCACAAATTAGATTTTAACCAGAAGTAAGACTCCTCAGTAGACATCTAATGAGAATGAAGTAGTATCTCTTTGTCATTTTGATTAGCATTTCCCTAATGACTATTGATGTTGAACATCTTTTTTTTT